AGCTCACTTCCACAACGCTCCAAAGCAATGGTGAAACTATAATTAACTGGATAAAATTCACCATTTCAAACAACTAAGTAGGCTCACTCCCTTACTGGGTGCCGCTGCGGCTTTCACGCCCGTCGTGTTCTCGCAGACTTAGGAGAGTATATGCTTGCATAAACAAAAATATTATGGTTACTGCTACCAAAAAGAAAGGTTTTATTGGCATCATTGGAAAACTGGTTTCTAAATACATTATATAAGTTTATGAGCGTCTGCATATGACCTAAATTATAATACTAACACTTTAAGCGAAACCTGTTATTTAACCCTTCTTGACCGTAGATTGAAGAGAACAGCACTTTCACAGTTTGAACATGGTACGAACCCCTATATGGTAATATTACAATTATGCTATGCCCAAGAGTATTCGTCAGTGACCGATTTAAGCTAATACTAGACTTGCCCAAGGACTCCTTATAACATATCCAGGCTGACGACCAGTACACTAATTGATATAAAGCTCAGTTTTACCCTCGGCGCGCATGCGCAGTGGTGTACGGTAGTTGGGTCTGCTGTGTCTGCTGTCTGTCGGTCACATCTCACTTCTCGAGTGTTCCGTCTCACCAAGCATACCACCTCCTAACGGGCAATGAGGTCAGACTTCGACGGTTTCTCTAAACCACTCCATTCAAAGCTAAGAGCGCCAAAAAAGCCATACACAAATACATAACACAACGACGTCCATCAATCCCCGTAGCAGATCACCCGCGTACTCATAGGCCCGAAGAGCAAACCAGGCGTATATCCGCCTCCTCGCAATCTATCATAGTTTAGTCCCGCCGTCACACTCTGCGCGAGCCTGGCAAGAGACCACGAGTAACAGCTACTAAAACTAAGCCAGCCCATCAATTAGTGGTACGGCGCATGCGTTTACTTACGCGTGCACTTCAGTGCTTTTCATTACAATCATATCCCACTTCTGACATATCAATTGACCTATGGTCAAAATAGACATATTGTCTAAAATCTCATTTTCTTCTTCTTGTTACTGTTGTTGTTCAGTTTTTAATTTACGTCAAAACTAAAATTAGAGGTAACACTGTATAAACCTGGGCTGCAGGTGCAATCCATGACTTGGTACGCAGTGTGAATGATGGTGTTTGTAAAAGTTTTGTTGTTTTGTGGGTTTTGTTTGTATTTTTTTGTTGTTTTTTTTTTTTTTGTACACACCGCACAAAACAGCCTCAGGCAAAATACTTGTAAATGGTGTTTGCCACTACGTCTGCAACTACATAGGTACACTGATGCAAGGAAGCACTGTGTTACAACTCAAAGGCCAACGCTGGTGTACACATTCTCTTGAGCTTTAGCCATGGTTGTACGTAGGTCAGTGCCTGGGCGCTAGGTTCCCTCTTAATAGAAATTGGTCGTCACAATTTTCTATACCTCCAGAAAACCTATATAAAAATGAATAAGCAAAGACTTAAGCTATGTGCAGTAGTTCCGAACACAAAGTTACTGCGACAGGTGACAACTAGCTTATTCTATTCCTGCTTACATGCGTTAATCAACTGCACCTCAACTAAACACATAACTTGCTCTCTTTTAACCCCAAAACGAGTTTCACACAATCAAATTACCTATTTTTGAATGATTCCACAGCTTTAAATTCATCAACTGCATTTTCTCCTCCTGTGACATTATTACAAGTAAATTAAAAACTTACTGGGAGCTCGACAGTTCACTGAAAATCTTGCTACAAACCAGTTACAGCACCGTTCACGCTCGTATACTACGGTTATTATTAAACTCGGCTTGCGGTCTCGAGAATCAATAACGCACTCGCCTACGCCTTGTGCGTTATCGTCTCTCGACTGCAAAACACGTTCAATGATACCCGTAGTACACTCGCACGGTTTTTTAACTAATACTTGTAGCACTGCATGGGCATATGTATCAAAGATGCCCATAGTACAATAAGCACACAGTTGAATGACTGGAAAATTAATGAACAGGCTGACAAGCACTCCTAGAAGCGAGTTTTCGTGGGTCTTATATGGATGTGCCATAGCTAAAGTATTCACTAGAAATCTTGTTACAAACCAGTTAAAGCACCATTTACGCTCTTATATTACAGGAAATTATTGTGCAGACTCAAGAGACGATAACGCACTCGGCTTGTAACACACTACACATGGAACATACAGATAGTACTTACCAAGCATCCTTACTACCATGAGAAACACATACCCAGACAAGTATGCATCATAAGCTGCTTCATGAAAGTGGTTTCCAGATCCATAAGTAGCACAAGACTCGGGAAATACTGTGATAGAAAATTACCCAGTGTCTGTAACCAAAACAGGGCACCTCCTATTGTCTTTCGGTGATATAACATATCATAAGGCTACTCAAATCCGAGACACTTCTTATAAACATGCACCCACATACTGTACTTCACCCTTAATGTCATCCCTTGTTCTGTCGCCCTTTATACATACTGTACTTGTTACATAAACGTAGTCATTTGATGTTACCAAGCAATCAGTATGTACATATAAGGGGTGTACTAATTACTGCTGCCTACAACTGACCAATAAGAAAAGCCAAAGCAATGAGTAATGCTGTGTTTCAACTAGTTCTGGTTGATGTTCAGTTCTCACCCTGGGCAGCTCAGTTCTTCTTTAAAATCAGGGATTCTGGGTGTCATTGATATGCTTTTTCGTTACACTAGTTACCATGTAGAAGGTTGTATTAAACACAACACACATTTAAAACAGACTAACCGGTTGTGACTTGAGGAAACTCTGGTTTTGCTAAAGCACTGTACACATTTGCAAGTGATAAAGAGGGTCCAAGACATGCCTACAACAAAAGCGATGTAAGTGAGAGCAGGGTTTAATTTTTCTTCATTTGACCCCCTGCGCAGGTATGAAGCGAGGGTTACACAGTAGTTTGTCTGTCTGTCTGTCTCCCTGGCTGTCTCTCTCTCTCTCTCTGTATGTCTAAGCTTATTCTGGCACTACAGGCTACGAGGTGGCCCATGAGCGATACCATCAGCTCAGAAGTACGCAAGCCTGAAAAATAAAATTCTAAAAATTGACATTCAAGAGATATGCCGTGAAAGTAAGGGGAAAAGTCAATATGCAAATCGCACTGGGTTTACCTTGACTTGATCTCCTCACTCATGTATATACCTTGCACAACAAAGGGCATGTAACGACTAATAAAAGGCACTAAAGTATTCTAAAGCCTCAGTGCAGTGCATATGTATACAGACATGTGCGCATACGTATAATATATATCAAGAACACTACACAAACATTAAAACACCAAAGCACAAAAGTCCCACTGTGTGATGCATCACACCACGTAGTAGCTGAATGTGTGACATGGTCGACCACCAGGTACATGGCACGTTTTCTAAAGCTATGTACATCATCAGGAAGTGTTGTAGATCCCATACTTGCCTGCCGCGTACTTCTGACGCATCAATAGTTCGCAAAAAACAGCCGTTAATGGTCACATGCACACTGAGGATTTTCCTGCACTCTCTACTACTATAGAGTTTGTATCCATTACAAAGACCAAAAAATTTTCCTGCAGAGTTTAACTCCTCTCATTACGCATCACTGGCTGCAGACCAGGCCGCCAGTTTGGTAATGAATGATGCTAGGAATTTAGATCAAATATGAATATTTATACTTTCTGGTACTGTTACAAGTAAATATTCTTGAATGAAAAAACATTTGTTTGTTTAATGAAAAGCACTGAAGTGCAAACCCTCGGCGAACTGCGCATGCGCGGTACCGCTAATGTCTCCCGCTAGTAGCTCGCGGAGAGTCTGACAAAGGCTAGCTACGGTAGTAGATAACATGCGGGAGTCGATACACGCCCTTCGCTGTGGTTTCTTGTGCCTCCAAGGTACACAGAGCAGGCGGATCAGGTCGGGGTGAGCCGCATTGATCGCGTCTAATATACGCATGCGCACCGCTTATTGATGGGTTGGGCCACGGAACACGGTCCGCGACGGTGCCAGTTTGTCGCTCTCGAACGCAGTCGTTTCAGGAAAAACCGTTCGATTAAACTGATCCTTATTACCCGTTTATTACGTCGTATCGTTTGTGGGACGAATAAACCATCGAGAAGTGAGTTGGAGCATGGACAGACAAACAGACAAACAGACAAACCCAACTACTGTAACCCTCGCTGCGCATGCGCGCCGAGGGTTAATGATGTAAAATTATGCATCGGCACAATAGCCACTGGGGCACATTTGTTTACTATTTAAGTGAACTGCTCACAAGTAGGCACTAGAATTAGACGATGAAGGCACTAATAATAAACACAGCTAATCCGACCACAACTCCGAAGGAATAGATATACATATACATATGTATTTAAAGGGAATGTGTCAGTACATAAGGGCTAAATTATACTAAAGATAGAACTAAACAATGGGGCCCAGTGCAGGCATGCAATTAGGTTTCCGTTTTTAGTAACAATTTAAGTTAGCCTTTATATACTGCCACGTTCCTTTTAAGAATGAAGCATGAGAGAAAACAGCAATTTGACAGAACATACCCTGATGGAGCTGTTTTCACATAAAACAAGGGTGTCGTATATGCTGCAGTTGAAAAAACATTACAGGTTATAGAGGCTTGTAACAAGCTCATGTGTGTACAGAGTGTATATGATTTGAGAAGGGAAGAAAACCTTCACCTTTCTACAGAGAAAAATAATTAATTATGTGTAAAAACACCATGGGCACTTGTGCCACTCAGACTACTTTTTCGGCACCAGCCCAGGTTGTTGAGATGTGTGGTGGTTGTGGTACTTCTGATATTGCCCTGATGTAATCCTTTGTGCTTTCTTACCTTGCTAGATTGACTTGGCTATAGCTCTTATACTATGACATTTTGATGCCCTAGCCAATACACAATGTGTCGAGTGGAAAACGAAAAGCTTATTCCTGGTATGAATGCAGTGCAGCTGGACCGAAAGGTCACCTTCATCAGTGTGTACATACTTACTACAGTACTTGTAGTTTATTTGCTTTGCTTTGACCTCGTTTTGGACATACTACAATGACTCTGAAGCAAGGGTTGGTCTAAAAACTGGCATGATGCCAAGTATGACATTACTCCAGTAACGTTCAGTTTTAGGGATGTGCTCTGCTCATGGAGTACTTTTCACTGTCCCCAGTGAAAACGCCTGTCTGATGCTCTCTCAGTAGCACTCCACACAATCTTTACATCTGTGCCATATAATATGCACTATCACAGTTCTTAAATGGAATGCGATACCAGAGAATCCTTTGTAACAGCATCCTTGGGTCTTACTAACATAATGTCGTAGTGTGAGATATGGGCAGAAAGCTGTGTAGATGTTCAGTATGTGTTTTTTTGCCTCAAACAGTTACATAATATTGTGGTGTTAATCTGGCCATAGGTTATGGTCTCTCCTCATTCTATTGTCTATACTAGGACAATTAACTTGGTTTGTGTGTACACACACACGCAGTAATGTAGTAGAATAATGCATGTTTACACTAAAATACATACTCATCAAATCTCCTTAAAGTAAAGATCACCAGCACGTACCTAGTGAGTCTCCTGTTTATTTCACTCTTAAATGCTTCAAGTTCCTGTTGAAGTGAAAATGTATGCATTTAACCAACACAAAGGTCTGCCATCTTATCCTTTGCAGCAGTAAACTTAGTCACAAGTGCACAGACAATTAGTCTGATGAGCTAATAATATAGCAGTCACAAAACCTTGAAGTACTCCCCAAGGTATACATTTTACTACCAAAGGCAGCCGGTTAGCACCATACATTATGTCAACCAAATAGGATTTTGCATCCTTACAAGAGTATATGTACCAATTTGTACCTTTGGAAGATCATCAATGAAGTGAGAATATGTGTGCAGAAGATCCAGCAGTACACTGTGCCCAACTACGGGAATATTCTACAAGAAAAATACGCGAGACCACACTGGTGTGTTAAATGAACATACACATCTTTTGTTGTAAACTAGCCCTTTAGACGAGCAGGTGCTGTGTTTGCAGCCCATTCACAAACTCACGCATGTCGAAAGGGCAAATTGCCTAACAGTATGTTTACACACTGGGAATAGTGTAGAGGAGCTGGGCTAGCAAGGGGTTATAGTGGCCACTATAGACGCTTATATGTGTATAACAAACGCAGACCTTGTTTCTATCAATATGGCAAACATTTAATAAGTTTAAGCAAAAAAAACACCACCACAACCTCTAAAGCATTGTTATGTTAGCAGCAATATTGACAGACGCCATAGCGTCAAGTAGTTTGGGATGTCACGGTATATACAATAAGCTGGAGAAATAATGTCTGTTTCTGTGTTTCATTGCGTGAAGTCACTGGTGAACAAATCAGCACAAAACATGGTCATCAAATCAGATTGGGCATAATGTAATCTGAAGCAATGCAACACCATTTCTAGTGACATATTTTACACTGCAAACTCTGAAGCCGTCCTCTCCCCTATGATCCTAGAGACCTGGCAGTCTACATGTACTAATAGGTTACTCGTTACGTCCGTAATAATATCCGGAATTAAAGGGTCACAAAATTTGATTGCATGTAGTTGGTATTACCATGTAGTTCATTCCATTCTATCATGTGCCTGCTTCCTAACCCACCGAGTCAGCGATGATTTTAAATACTCGAGAGAATCCTAAACACTGATTAAGTTCTTCGTCTGATGGTTCTTCAGCTTCTTTTCTTCTTCTTTTCCACCATAACTCGTCTGTCTCTCTCATGTATGGTATACCTAAAAAGTGAAACAACATTCATTGTAGTGCATAATGTTATGAGGTATATATACACTCACTTCCAAATCTAACCTTCCCTAATCCACTTGTTGAAGTCAAGTCCTGAGTTTGAAAGCAATTTCAGGCTAGAAGGCTGAAGGAGATCAATACCATCACCATGTCAGTTTCACAATCGGGTTTACATTATGATCAGTGAAGATTGGAATTTTGCAACCATAAAAAATCTATTCTGGAAATCTGGACCATCTCAACACAACACTATAGCATCATAGCATTGCAATGGGATTTCATATTGCCTTGATATAAGCATCCTTGCTTATTATGCATAATACACGAATTATTAAGAATTAGAATGACAAGGGACCCATAGTAACTTGTGAAGTTCGATGGAGAGGGGTAACAGCATGTGTTCAACCTCATAAAATGGGCTGTCATACAACCAATTTTGGTTTGGTCAGAACAGCACATTAAGAGAGCCCACACTGAAAAATACATGCAAAGATAAACAGACAAAGGCTTGTTGCATACATACACAATAGATGTAGTTGTATATACCGGAAGTGAGAAAATTTCCTGGAACTGATTAGTTGGAACCAGACACTCTAAACTTCTTTTAGTGTCCCTTTTTTGCACTAAAAACTGCATAACCCCTAGGTTAATTGGACAACGATAAAAAAGGAAGCAAGCCTTTTGGGGAATTCAACAAGGCTAATTGCCTTCATAACACTTCCTCTAGGATAATAGACATTATGTTGGTTTTCTAGACCTGTAGAAGTGATGTTAACTAAAAAAGGCCCAGCCAGAGATAAGTAATAGCAAACAGCAATATTGCCATATATGGAGACTTATTCAACCTCATAAAACGGAGACTGACAAAAGGGAAGACAGCCACCCATGTTGTAAAAAACCTGGCAGATAAGCACCTTGCCACAGTAAAATTATTAATAACCTTGCATTTGCGCGCGCAGCGATGATTATAGTCTGTGTGTGCTTGTCTGTCTATCCTTGCACCACTGACTAATTATGAGAGACTCGAGTGTACATATCTAGTCCAGTCACTACCCACTGATGCAGCTAGCCTGTGTTAGAATGAGAAACTTGCTCTAGTGATGAGATAGACTGCTTGGCATAGCCCGCCCGGCCATGAATTACTTATAAACATGCAAATACACCAACACTAACAACACTTTAGTGCTCTTCATTGCAGTAGGTGATGCATATAACTACAACAAAAAACTCACAAATCACACCTTTTAGCGAACAAAGTCCTCCAGTGACACAAAAACACATTTCACAATTTCATGAAATTAGGGTGCATACCTGGCAACGAAAACACCTATCCAACCTGCGTCCCAGTGAATGACAAGGAAACAAGTAGAAATTGAATGGGAACACCTCATACCTGTAGTTGAAAAGCATTACCTCAACTCTGGCTTATGTAACTAATCACACAAAACACCACGCAATACTCAACATGCAGAGTTTCTGTCAAAAACTTGGACTTAATTTATAACAACTTACTCGTTTTCTTGTTTTACAAACAAACAGATGCCGTACTGGATCAGACAGAATTCTGAGCAGCCCTAGAATAATTATAATAAAGTTCAATTCTTTAGTTATCGCCATATTACTTAACTCCCAGATACACAGAACATAACCCTTAATCCCAAGAAGCTACGTACCACAGGTGAGCCACAGGCATCACCACATCTATAGGCAGGAGACTCCCACAACACATGATTGTTTCTTTAAATTATGCAAGTGAGGGTTTAAGGACAAGCAAGGCAGGGAGTTCCTTTTCACCACAATAAATGTCCCTTATTCTCCATGGATATACAATTTTTTTAATGTACAATGGTCTCTGCTCATTTTCATCCCCTACTCTGGCAATGTCACCAGTAAACAGCTAGCCAAAACTTATCAATTAGCAGAGCAACAGTAGATGCTTCTCTATCTACGTTAGGCATTGAAGTGATCTGTTCACAAGCCCTCCTCATTCAAACCCAGTTTAATACAAACATCAAATCTACAGGTTGAACAATAAAATATTTTTCAGGCTTGTATCATTAATACACTCATGAGCTTGGGTCCCATACATTTCTATAGGAGCAGGAAAAAGGGGAATGTGGCAGTTATATAAGGGCTAAATTTAGAAACTGATACTGAAAATGGGAACCTAATTGCATTCTTGCACTGGGCCCTTTGTTTAGTTCTATATTTAGTAACACTTCTAAATTTAGTCCTTATGTCCTGACACTTTCCCTTTAATAGACAATGGTAAAGTTACACACACAAATCCTACTATGCCCCAATATTACACCATGTACACATGTACATGAAAGCAGGAAAAGCCAGCAAACGAGGCTATAATCAGACAATCTTTTATTGGATAGCACTTATGTGAACTTACATACAATAGTTTGCTGATGAGTACCCAGCAACTGTGAATACAACAACCATGAAATTTCTCATATGCTGTTTTCCTCTCCTTAACTGGTATGTAAACTACCCTAACATCTAAAACTGACATCTCTGAGTTTGGAGTATCTTTCTTCAGGAGTATCCTCCCATTCTTCTCTTGTATCATTACCTCGCAGACCAGTAAATTCACAATCGAAAGACACTAGACAACTCCTCGGCAACAAAGAGGAAATCTCTAGAAGAGCACTTGGAAAATCTAAAACAGTTTATAATCAATACATGTTACGTATATGCTGAAGCTCTAATAATAATACAAGTCACAAACAATGGAAGGTGCATGGAAGAAATATCTTGCTATGGCGCCAGATGTATTACGTGGAAATCCGTTGTCATGTCGTAGGTGTAGTTAGGTTGTTTGGATGTTTTTGCCTTGTGTTGACACCCAGTGGTCCATGCATACCTTACTGGATAACAGTCATGGGGAAACGTCCCGAGGAAAGGCATACATGGGAGGGGATGGGGGTTGAAAATGCTGTTGCCTTGCCCGCTAAAGCCAATGCGCATGCGTGATAACAGCATGGCGCATAAATTTGGCCTCGACACCCTACCATGCTAATGGCACACAAGAAGATGGTGGGGTGTACATACACATAATAGGCTCACTTCGTCTAGTGACTTCCATCCAGCAACAAGAGAGGGGACTGTAGGATCGAGTCGCTGTGCTGCCCACGCGCATGCGCATCAACTGCCATGATACGCATGCGCGCAATCGGTGCATGTAGTAGGCGTGTATCCCTCATCATCACTATCCAAAGGCATGGGCATCATAAGCGTTTACATCGTGAGTAAGGCTGGCGGGTTGATTTTCTCCCATGATCAGCCAAACACCAGTGCAGAAGTTGAAGCCACGTTCAACTGTCCTCTTGGGTTGGTTCTGGAAGAGGTAGACAGGCAAGTGGTCGTCAAATACGGAGAGAAACATGGCATCCAAGGTAAGGTTTTTTTATGTGTAGCTAGATACCAGCTATATTATGGTAATTTTCAGTGGGGTACTCGCTGGTAGCACTCAATGGTCAACCTGTGGCAAATCGCTGTATTCCTGATGGAACATCTGCAATGACTGTGCTGACAAATCCAGAAAATTACCCAGTGTCACTAAAATTTGCACGCCTAAGAGTTTCCATCAATGAAAGAATTATGCTCCTCAGCATGTTTCATTCGTAAGTTTAGTCACCATAATGTTTAATGATAGTTTAGTAATTTTGGGACTGGAACTCTTGCTTTCTAAACCGAAAAACCACTGTTAGCACCATGCCTTTAGCAATTCAGGATCATGTGTAAATCTGTAGATGGGTTGGAGGAAGGCATCTACAGTGGTGCTAAAATTTCTGTTAGTATTAAAATTTATGATCAAATCCTTTCTCGAGTAGAAAGTTATTTTGCTGTTATTAGATATCCAGCCAACAGCACGTTTCTAAGTTTGTGATGGTGTGCTAAGATATAAACAAGGCAACACCGGATTAAGTACCTATGGTAGAAAGTGAGAAGCATGTGGGAAGTTGGTACAATTCAAGTCTCAATGTCATAATCTCTTCCGCAGGATATATGCCATTTCTGTGAAACTCTCACCAGCCAAGCATTCCTCTGGTATCCAGTGTCTGGAAGCTGATTCTTTTAAATTCTACTGCTTTCAAACAATTACAGGTTATAGGTCAATTCCACATAATTATCTCTTAGGGATTGCTGGGTGATAAAACAAAAGTTGTATGCAAAGTCAATTTAATTACTGAAGGGAAAGAAGCTGGATATTACTATTCCTGTGAATGGGTGGTAGTGTGGTGTATAATAACAACAGAAAATATCTGTCCTGGTGTGCATGCGCAGCAAGGGTTACTGTTTGTGTACGTGTGTGAGTTCAGCAAGAACCTGTGTGAACGACAAATACCCAGTCAAGCATTGCACATAATGCTACTCACTGATGCTGTGCTTTGAAGCTAGAGGTGGACCGTACGAAGCCCAGCCCATCAATTAGCCTTGCATGTGTAGTATTATACAACTGCCAGCAGGCAATTAATAAATATTTGTTCGCCAGAGTGATAGTAACTGTATTTGGTTTGCTGATTCAGCAAACACACCAATCTAATATTATGTTCTTTACCTCTCTAAAAAGTTCAAATGAATCAAACACGAAAGTAGACCTAAAACCACATTTCATGACTATCAGATTTGAAATTCAGGTGCACTGTATATATGTACTTGTATTCAAGCATAATGATGTAATGTTCCATAATGATAGCAAGTTTGCAGCACATGGGACTCATTAATGGCAGTTTAAGTTTGGCACTTTCACCATTACAATATCAAGTGGCTTTCGTTTTCCTCCTAAGGTGTAAAATTTATTGTTGTTGCTGATAACAAGCAGCAAAAAGTTGAAGACCTACTTAAGAGAATTTATGAGCTCTATGCTGATTTTGTTCTCAAGAATCCATTTTATTCTCTGGATATGCCAATAAGGTAATTGTTTTGTTAGGTAGTGCAATGCCTCGAATGCCACACATTTTTGGTGAGTGAGCACAAGTTGTTATATTTATATTTTTGTTTTTTTTCGTATTTAGTACATTACGGTGCAATGCCTGTCACATACAAAATTAATACTGGAGGAATGTAACATTGTTTGGCAAGCAGTTCAGAATTTTGCGCGTTTTGCGTGTATTTAGAATCACGTAGGGGTGCGAGCATTTCAATATTTCGCGCATGTTTTGTGTGTATTTAGAATCACATAAGCATTACGGTATGTTGGTCCGTGGGACGGTTGACCGTTACAGATATAATATATAAAATATGGAAAAATTCCACATTCAAACAACTGGGTGGGCTCACTCGCTCGCAAATAATAAAACACTCCTGCATTCAGAAAACTAGGTAGGCTCGCTTTTCTCACCATTATATGACAGTCCCAAGTACACAGTTACACATCCTCATCAGCTTTACCTTTTACTCCTGAAACTTGGTAACAGTGAGTAAAGAAGCAGAAACAGCCTTAGGACCATGACTCTCCCCAAAGTTACCGACTGTAACAAATATGAAGATCTTCTGCATCATCTTTAATTTACGCACTTTTCTCTTCCTTTAAAACGTTTTTATCTTTTGAACTATAAGGGGCATGCATAATTTGGGGGACAAGTACGTACATAGTGGGAATAATGGAGATGGGTATAAAGTATGGTAATGGAGTACGCTCATGATCCAATGTATATTGCAACATCAAATACTTTGTCTATTTGAAATGATAGGTGTCACCAACGTTTATTACATAACAGAGCAGCCAGAGAGTGTCACATACATAGGTCTATGCTTGCACCAGGCGACAATACAGGGGTTATATTATTAGTTCCACATGACACAATTATGCTTTATATTTCATCTCTATCTTTTCTTTCATTGACTGGCACCCGCGTGGATGGGGCGGATGGGGCGGGCCGGGGGGCGGTGGTCACATGCTAGGCTCAGCTTCATAGCTAGAGATTCGGCCAGGGAGCTGGCCCCCGAGGCTGGAGAGAGAACTAGGTTTCTGCCTTCATGGATACGCTGGTATCTTGATCAAATGCGCATGCTCAAATGGTGGGTTGCGGTACGTACTGCCCGGCCCCTTGCCTGGGCAATTCAATTGCCGCGGCAAATGGCAATTTGCCGAGGCAAGAGCACTTTTGCCGCGGCAAAAGGCCCGGCAACGACAAGAATACTGACACGATTGAACATGGCCCAGCTAGTTATTCTTGCCGCGGCAAATGTCCCGGATTTTTCGGCCCAGGTTTTGCCGGGGCAATTGCCGCGGCAGTTTAATTTTGCCGCGACAAAACGGAAATGCCTTGGCAAAATCGACGTTTGAAATACTGACACGAATACCAACCCATTCAATACAGGGGTTATGTCATTAGTTCCACATGACACAATTATGCTTTATATTTCATCTCTATCTTTTCTTTCATTCACCATCCCTATTTTCCCTTTGTCACATAGCATTTACTTGCCTAATATTTATTTGTGCGTGATCTGTTCATGCAGGTGTGAACATTTCAGCACAAACCTAACAAGATTCATTGAAGAGAACTAAAGGCACAAACTACCTGTAATTTACGTTTGTATGTTTATTTGAACGAAAATAGCACAAAAGTCAGTATTTGCGTGCATTAGGGGTGCACACATTATCTCTATGTCCGCTTTTTCTTCTCTAATTCTTTTCCCGTTTCTTTTATTCCTCTGAAGCTGTATATAGTTTTTAGCATCCAAAGACGCTGTGAAAAACAAACGTAATTAATGGAGTTCTAGACGCAGATCCTCGAAGATACAGTAGCAGTCACCCTAGATTTAATTATTCGCAAAGGAGGTCCATCATTTAAATAATTTGTGGTCATTTGAAAAAAGCTCCTACGTATCTCCTTCTCATCACATTTGGCCTATTTTCCGACACGTTTTTATCACCCTATTATTCTCAGAATAATATACTAATTTGTGGACCGCTAACGCAATTCCATCTGTGGTGGCGAGCCTATTTGTTATTGGCCTTTCAACGTTCTAGCTTTTCTTTTAACACCAAAAATACATGTTATATAAAAATTACAACGGGGATATTCAAATCACATGTATGTATGCGTTTAGATTTTACATGGTGAGATATGCTACATCTTATTCATCGTTTTCCAACTTGTATGTTGGATTAACATAGCCTGTTTCTTTCATGATCGCAATCTTCTGGTCCTGAGTCTGTAGCTTTGAGGCCGCTAGCTGCCGTCTCTTGTGCTGCAACATCACTGCAGCTGCCAGGATTACTAGTGCTGCCACTACCAAAGCGAAACCTACTGTGGCAAAACTATAAATCAGAGACTGGTGCAGTCTGTTGCCAGATCCAGTGGCTTCTGTGCTCAATTCATCTGTAACAGGAGTTGAACTGTGTTAATTTGATAAAACCAACAAAAATATATAGTGAGCAAATGCAGGGCGTTTTTGGTGAGTGAGTGCGAGCAAGTACATAATTATCTGCACTTAATAGCCTATATAGCCATCCTAGCCTATATACACACTGCACCTTGGAACTGCAAAGATTGTTTAAGGGTTATAGCCTCAGTCAGGTGTCAAAGGCAGCGAATGCCGCCGAATGGACGAGAGTTCTATCACCGGCTAGATAGAGGACCCAGCGTGTTCATTGAAATAATTTCACGTACAAAGAAGGGCATTATCCAAAGACATGTGCAGTTGGATGACACAGTGTTTAGCACCGCCGCCCATAGGGAATATTTTCTATTGCAAAGACTGGGTTGGCTTGCTCCTGCTCGCCAATGAGTGTGCAAGGGGCATCGATGTTACATTACTTTTTTTTTTACAGTATTTTTTCCAATACACTATAATTTTATCGCTCGCCTAAAATGTGTTGCATTTGTTATAGTAAGTTGTGATTTTTTTGTGTATACGTTATGATTAAATATAAGCAATAATGACTATTATGCATTAAATTTTCTCAATTGGAATTTGATTAACTGGAAAATACAAAGCTACCGTACTTAGTGATACTTATATAACTGCCACCCAATCATGAAAAAAGTACATGCTAATCAGTTACTCACCATCAGCATGTCTGCTGTGGCTGTTTCCAGTTAAATCTTTATCCTCTGACCCCTTTTCAAAGCTGCCCTGATGTAACTTTTTGTGCTTAACATTGCCTGCAAGCAAATGGAGGTGTGTCATATTTTTTGAGCTGTAAGTCTCTAAGGATACTGTGGAAGATACCACTGTGTTGGGCTTTGGTGTTATTCATGGGTTTGGAGGACAAAAAATATTTATGGAGTGCAGCTGTCTCTAAGCTTGCCTTGTACTTCGCACATTCTCTCTGCTGAGGGAAATGAAAAGCACTATGAGATGCAAACCCTCGGCACAGCACCAGCAATATTTTTAGCATGTAGCAAATAGCTTGATAGCTAGTTTTTAAAAAGTGTGTAAAACATGATGGCCAAACAGCGACACAAACGGGTTCAGTGCCACACTTGCTTCGTTTTAATTAAAATTACTGCATTTCAAGTTATGGCATGAAAGAACAAGCCAATATCCAATTTAGCACAGGCATACCTCGACTGTATGTGGCTGCTTTGCATACCTGAGGCACCAGATGTTACAATTGAGGGTGAGTATGGAGTCCCTCACGCCATCTACCATGGTAGCCAACCAGTGTCGGACACCCATCCAGCAACGAGAGACCTCGACAACAGCGTAGCTACCCCAACCAGCCAGCGCATGCATATGGGTGTCAACAAATGGGCACATTTGTTTAGTTGTTTTGATTTAGGAGTCCCGGATTTGTTTAATGAGCAGATGGTAGGATCATTCAATTGCTGCTCTTTCCAATATCGAATTTCAAACACTAAACACCTCGCTCACTCCGTTGTATACCATTTTTGAAATGGGAAAGCAATTCCCATGCCATGAATTTCTTGAAAATTCATTTCTGCCACAACTTGCCAATGTGCTAGGTAAAAATATGCTTCATGGGCTAGGGTGAACTATGGAGTATTTCCTGCACTAATCATCCACAAATAATGTGGTGCAGGGAGCATGCTTCTTGCACTGTGGCATAAATGATTATGGAGAGTGTTGAAGGAACAAGCACTACATGGAACTAACGAAATGTGTAGCTACCAAGGTTGAATAGAGGGCCCTTACCTAATGCATATCAGTTATTACCGTGCTTGCTACTTTTCAGAAATGAAAGGTGTCGCCTTCACATCATAATCAAAATCGTACCATGTAGTGCTTACTCTAGCCCTCACAACTGCAACTCACCCTTAGCAAGACTCTGGTTCTGTTTACATGGATTGAGTATTTTATTCACTGCATCATCCAACCAACCTAAGGATGTAAAGCAGTGAAATCAAATAATACAGTGGTCTCTCAAAATCCTCCATCTTTAAAACCCTTTCTCTATCCTGGCCAAACTCTTCCTGGCTATACATGTATATTATACCTTCATTGGAGCCCTCCAAGTCATGTAATTAATGCATAATTTTTCTATATGCTACATACCATAATGTTATACGTGATTTTTAAAATACGCGAGAAAGTACTGAAAACAAACTGCTCGCCTCACTCGCTAACAATTCCTCTAGTATTTCCCTACGACCCTATGATTTATCCCTTGGAACCTCCATTCAGAACACCCGCAATGGAAGTACAGGGGTTTGAAAGGCAAGCTAAGGCTATCAGGTATGTAGCTGCTTAGCCAGGCTACACATTATGCAAGATAACATGATATCTAAAACCTATACCAGGAACTTCAGGAGTAACTTTGTTCTCAAAAGATGTTGAAGTATCAGTTTGTGTCTGCACTGATGCCACCCCATATTCTCCTTTATTTTGCTCAGTAACCAAAGGTCCAGGTGGATTTTCACTAGCTCTAGTCACTGCCTCAGTTGAAGTTAGATTTGCTTCCGGTTGTGTCGGTGGAGTGCTTTGTGTAATGATTTCATCAGATGCCGTTTCAATGGTAGTCACTGGTTCAGTTGAATACAGACTTGCTTCTGGTTGTGTTGTTGGGGTACTTTGTGTGGTTGTTAGGTCCTTTCTGTCATCAGAAGCCGTAGTTTCACTTGTAATACTTGGTTCAGTTGAATACAGACTTGCTTCTGGTTGTGTTGTTGGGGTACTTTGTGTGGTTGTTAGGTCCTTTCTGTCATCAGAAGCCGTAGTTTCACTTGTAATACTTGGTTCAGTTGAATACAGACTTGCTTCTGGTTGTGTTGTTGGGGTACTTGTTGTCATTTCTTGAGTTCTGTCATCAGGTGTATAATCTTGTTTGGGTGAAGCGTTGTATGTACTACCCTGTGGTTTAATATTGGAGGCTTCTGTCATTGGATTGGATGGAGTGAACGGCTCCTCAAAAGAAGGAGATGGCAAATGATAGGGCTGTTGAGGGGGCTGTGTATCCACTGTAAGTGTTGAACTAGACTCGGATGGTGAATCCGTATGTTCTTTACAGCCTGAGGTGCCACATGGAGTTTCTATTCTAAGGTCTTCATCATCCCCAAAAAACTGTGATTGTTCTTGAGTTATTATATCCATCATACGTTTCAGAAATGCTGCCAGAATTTTGATGTCAGGACCCGAACAAAAATCCTCTGGTGATAGGACTTTCGAACTGAGTCTAGACTCATATCGCATGGCTTGTGTGGCCACACAGCTTACAAGACCATCCTGCAATTGTTTCTCATACGTAGCTAATTCATCCACTAGTTTGTTTAGTTCCTGTATGTTGTGGCTCAAAAGGTCAGTTATTAAAGTTAACATTGACAGCTTACGCTGAGTTAACAATTCCTCTAGTGAATCGTCACATTGGCTTTGTATGACACTCAGTCTCCGAGATCTACTGGAGTAAATTTCACTGTATGTGTTCGCAATTGTTTTTTCTATCACTTGTTGATTTTCTTCTACATATCTATCTCCAGGGTAAGATCTGCTCATTATCTGTTGAGTCTGTTGGGAATACTTCATCCAGTTTTGTAACTCTGAGGTAAAGTGTTGCTCAAGCTCATCACGCCTCTGCTCACACACCATACGAATCTGACGAATATCTTCCAGTAACTGGAACCCATATGTCATCCCTTGAACACTGGCGTGGGCCTGAGTTATGAACTCAAGTGGGTCTGTGTGGATAGTAAATAACGAAAGGAGATGTGACGACAACAAAATTCTTAAACATCGGTATGCTAAAATAATGTACTAACTTTCTGTCTTACGTCCATGCCTTCTAACTAAAGCTGTGCATTACTACCATCCAGATGACCAAGATTACCACCCCCAGAACCAGCAAGACCCTAGCTGTTCCCTAGGGGCACAATCAGAGGCTACCCTACCCACCAGTATCACTGCTAAAGTATCTCAGGCAGTTACAATTGGCTGGAAAATCGGACAGCTAGTGACTAAAATCATCACTAACACTCTCACAATCCATTACATAGGAACACCTTTTCCTCTCTTCCGTATCTGTCTTTGTACCTCCTTAATTATAGTCTAGTCCCTGCATCTATGCTGATTACCTTATTGTAAAGTGCTGTATTTAACCTGCTGTCCCTTAGCCAACCTTTTATTCCTTTTACTTACCTCCGCTTATTATAAAGTGCTCCGTTCGAACATCCTTACAGAACTCCAAAGAAATATTTTTGTCACCATCTAACACCAACACTTTAGTCACCTCTACATTTCAATCTGACAGCCACTACAGTAGCTACCAGACACTATCTATCTATCTATCTAGTCTTCGTATGCTTTGTTACCTTGAAGACTTCAAAGCTGTCCTAACAACTTACAATGAGAGCAACCTTCAAGATGATATCCCAGTGCACAGACATGTTGTGTTGTAGATTTGAACCCCTACCAGCTGAGTTGCCATGGTAGCTCAGTTGGTAGAGCGCTCGCCTAGACTGTGGGTTCGAATCCCACCCAGGGAAGCTCTTCTTCTTTTCTTTGAAAAGAAAGAGCTGTCCTGGGTGTAATTGACTTGTTTGCCTTGCCTTGCCTTTCTACCCCATTGCCAAGTTGTTGAGACATGCATATACCTGGTTTGGAGTTGGGCGTCTTTGGTGGTTTAATTACCCCGGTCTGCTCCTACATACTGAGTGAGAGTTTACTGTGCCATAGCACAGTGGTTTGAGGTTTGCCTTGTGTTGTGTTGTGTTGTAGATTCGAACCCCTACCAGCTGAGTTGCCCTGGTAGCTCAGTTGGTAGAGCGCTCGCCTAGACTGCAGAGTGTCGTGGGTTCGAATCCCACCCAGGGCAGCTCTTCTTCTTGTGTAGTTGACTTGTTTGCCTTGCCTTGCCTTTCTGCCTCGTTACCAAGTTGTTGAGACATGCACGTCTCAGGCACAACTTTGTATGTGTACATGTGGACTCAAAGGAGTTTTTCGTGCCTTTCAAATGGTTTACAATTTAACTTTCCACTTTCACGTTTTACTGAGGTTCACGTTTTACTGCCTTCCCTCAGAGTCACAAACACCCACAGAGTCATGGTGCACAGTAGACCTCCTATAGCTGGCTCTACTTCTTAAACAGATTAATGAACATAAATATGGGGAAAATACACCCTTGAGCTATATATTTTTCCACATCAAATGCCTCAAACTTTTTATATAGCAATCTAATAACAGTAATCATTGCATAAATCAGTGTCACACAAAGCAAGTGCATATCAAAGAAGATAGTGGGACTCAAACCCTACCCTGTTGTCTGGACCACTGGGTTACCATTGCAGCTTAGCAGGCTGGGCTCAAAGTCTGCTGTATATATAGGCCTACAATACAAATTACAGGCATTTCCAACATTTTACAATTTAACCAGCAATGTGTGAACTTACAAATACGGAGTGATCTTTATACAACAGCTAAGAAAGGCGAGGAAACGCCGTCCGCACAGGCCACAGAAAATTTGTTTTTGCACTACATTATACATTATACATAGCAGCTAATCTTCTAGTTGCTGAACAGCAAAGTATTTTAGTTTCACTGTGTGCCACATAGGCGCAAAGGCTAATTGTACGAAGGACGGCAGCCACGGGTGTGCTTAGGGCTTTTGTTTACCGCTAACTGTCAGAGCTGTTTTTCTGCCACTCTTTTTCTTCTGCGTCCACTTTGCATAGCTACCTGTTACGTCTCAAGTTATACCAGCTAGCTATAAAAGGCCGCCCGAGTAGGCCACATAGCTAATAGCACTGACCATAATTGCGGCAAACCCCCGGCGAACTACGCATACGCGGTATACTTACCGCTAATCGATGGGCTGAGCTATTAGTATGCTATTCGTGATCCCTCGCTGCGCTCGCGGAGAGTCTGACACGGGCTAGCTACAGTAGTAGATAGCATGCGGGAGTCGATACACGCCCTTCGTTGTGACTTCTTGTGCCTTCAAGATACACTGCGAGCGGACGGTAGTGGTAGAGCATATTGAGTTGGTTTTCACACCATAACTTTAGACTTTTACGAAAATCGCCATTTTGAAAATGAAGCCAGTGTAGCGCTGAACCCATTGGTGTCGATTTTTGGACGGTTTGTTGCGCGTGGTGGCAGAAAACGTGGTAACAGAGACACACCCGCACACAGAGACCAAGTACTGTAACCCTCGCTGCGCATGCGCGCCGAGGGTAATGATTTTTACGTGCACGCAGCAGCTACGATGCTGAGTCACCGGACCCCAACCATGTTTTTTAGCCTATTCACGACTCTATAATTGAACTAGGTAGCAAACTTGAGCTCATTCATAGGTGCTACCCACATCCATGAAATATAATTAGCTATAACTACTTAGCTGTGTAGCTACCAAACAGTACTAGCTAGCTGTTCTTGAACCCGATAATTCACTTATGGCGTTGCCTAAAGCTATATGCAAACGTACTACTCTGCCACTCACACTTTGTTGCATCTTTGCTTGCCTGCAATGGAATGAATGAGTAATGCAATGGCAAGTAGCGAAGTGGTGCGCGGTGGCAGCGTAATATCAATAACTTACATTACAAACGGAAAATAATCCGATGAAGAGTAAACTCGATTGTAGAAATATGGAATCCATCCCCTTTCAAAAACACATTTGA